CCGGCCAATGCCCCCCCGGTCCTTGTCCTCAGGGCCCAGCCACCCCGGCCAGCGCCTGTCCCTGCGCTGCCCGTCACCCATACCACGGCCACCCCGGCCAGCGCCTGGCCCTGCGCTGCCCGTCACCCATACCACGGCCAGCACCTGGCCCTGTGCTGCCTGTCACCCCTACCACGGCCACCCCAGCCAGATGCTGGCTCGCTCTCCAGTGGGACTGGCCAGCCAGCATCTGCACCTCTAGCCAGGCTCCCTCATTGCTGGCTGCTCCTCTGATCCAGACTCTAATCTGTACCCGAACAATAGCTCGGTAGATCTACTTGCTTCTTACCCAATGCACTGACCCTGGAGAAGAGGTGCAATGGAGTGTCTGGCCAGGGACACGGCACTGGCAAGTGCCCAGGAAAGGGAGGTGTTCCGGTGATGGGGCTGTCTTGGGTTGGTTACTGTCTGGCTTTAGAATTGAGTCAGCACCAGAAATAAATCCTTTGAGTGTTTCTCAAAGCGCCGGGCATGGCCTCTGCTTTGTTCGCGCTCTTGTGGCGAGTTGAGTGGACTGGCAGTATCCAGAGGGAGGGGCGGGAGACTGGAAACCATACTGCATGCAGCACTAAGACGTCTCCAGGAAAGAACAGCCCCTGCCCCAACTGAAGGCAGAGCCTTGGCAGGGGCTGATGGCTTTGGCACCTGTGCTCTCCATAGTCTTCCTTCAGCCTGCCGCACTGCCCTGTGCTCCTGTCCCCTTGGGAGCCCTGCCAGGGATCAGCGTTGGAGGCTGCAGGTGTGCAGGCAGGACACTTCACCTCTGGTGCACAGCAGCGCCTCCAGAGCTTGTGCCAGCTCCCAGCCGCCATGCTGAGACAGAGCTGGCTTGGGGTGCTTCGCACTTGTTGCTCCCTCCTCTCCTGCTCTGTGAGGAGGTCGAAGTCCAGGCCCGTGCCTGGAGGTGCCCTGCCCCCCTTCCCCTTGTCGCTAGGAGCTTTCCCAAGGGACTAAATAACCCTCCCGACCTCCCGCAGGTCACGGCGGAGGAAAAATGTGTTTCCTGTGACAATGCTGACAAAGAGAGCCTGGGAGACAGCAGGATGGGCGACTGCCGGGAACGCGCCTGTCCTTGCTCCCGGCTTTCCGCAGGCTGGCTCCTGCCGCGTTAAAAGGGCAGAACGGGGGCGTGCTCTGCTCGGGCAGCTCTTTGTCTTGCCAAAGCGTGCAGTCCCCACCAGAGCCCGCCAAGCACCGGCGCCTGGCAGCACTGCTCCAGCCTCAGCGCCAGGCAGAGGTGGGCATGGGGAGGGGCGTGAAGCAAGGGAGATGGGGTCTGCCATGGCCTGGCGGGGGTGGGGAGATGCCAGGAGAGGGGACAGAGGACATGGTGCTCAGTGAAGTGGTTGGGGGCAGGCTGAGCTGAGTTTGGGGTGGGGATGGAGATACCAAGAGGTAGGGGGCGGGGAGCTTGGCTTTGTCTCTCTGATTGCTCTAGCAGCAGGTAACTTTCCTGGCCATGATGCTGGGTCTAGGGGCTCCCCTGTGGCTACTGCTGCAGAGGGCCGTGGAGGATAGCGTTTGCCCTGCCCCCACTTCCTTTCCATTCTTGGCCATGATGCGGGGTCTAGGGGCTCCCCTGTGGCTACTGCTGCAGTGAGCCGTGGAGTATAGCGTTTGCCCTGCCCCCACTTCCTTTCCAGCCATGCTCGCGCCTTGGATGTGAGGGATTTTTTCGCCTCCTCCTGCATTTCCTTAGGAAAAAGCAAGGAGGAAACGAGGCCAAAGAGAGGGTGAGGCAGAAGCGGAGAGGAAGACGGACAGACAGAACCAACCGGCAGACAGTACGCCTGCATACAGCCCATGCCTTGGCTTGGAAGCTCCCGGGGGCCAGCAGCTCCCCGTCTCCAGACTGGGATGGTGCAGCTGCTGCTGTTACTCTTTGGTCTCCGGTTTTGGCCATGGATTGGGAGTTGTGCTCAGGAGCTGGACCCTAGTGGGAGGAACGTGTGCAAGGCTACCAGGTAAGTGCCCACTTTCCCTTGGGCTCCATTCCCATCTCAGAGCTCCCCTCCCACAGCAGGGCGAGAGGAATTCGCTGCCATACTCTGCAGGGTCAGGCCGCTGAGCTGAAAGGGAGCCGTGCGTGGCAGCACGGGGATCTCTGCGAGCGAGTGTCACCGCACGAGGGAAATGTTCTTCTTCCGCAGCACAGAGACGTGTGTGTGGAGAGGGGACGGCCCAGAGGGGTGTGTGGTGACACAGGGCAGCTCTGTGTGCGTGTGACGGGGATCCCACAAGCAGAGACGAGTTGGTTTAATAACACAGGCACGGCTGTGGGGGGAATTGCGTAGGCAGAGGCTGGTTTAATAACACGGGTGGCTCTGTGTGTGTGAAGCGCGATCACGTGGCCAGAGCAGCGTGTAGTTCACAACATAGTACAGACCTGTTGGTGTGTGGGAGGGATGACGCAGCGTGCGGGCTTGTTTAACAGCACAGAGGGAGCTGAAGGTATGGGCAGGTTAGTTCTTAGTCTGCTGTGTGCTCAGAGCTGCCCCGAGTCAGACAGGCCCTGTCCCCAGGAGTTCGCTTGCATGGCAATTAAAGCCCAGGAAGCACAAGGGACGTGGGGGAAGGAGGTGAGAACAGCCACGAATTTACAGAGTTTTAAACTAACCCCATAAAGCTAACCTTGTGGCGTCACAGTGCTCATGAGGCCAGTCCCACTCCCTCCCGCCCCTCCCACCAGACAAAGGGCCTCCAGCTGCCTGGGTCTTTGCCTGGCATTGCTCTGTCCTGGGAGCTCAGTAGGATCCTCCCTGCAGAAGCCTCCTGGTCGTGGTACCCTCTTTCTCAGCCTTCATGGCCTTGTCTGCTAGAGACTTGTATGACTTGGTGGCTCCTAGGTAGTGGCTGCTGCCAGCAGGTGAAGCATCTGAAGACTTGCATACGATTCCTGCAGAAACAAAAAGCTGCAAACGCTGAGCGCAGGGAGACAGCCAGGCCAGCCTTAGTCCTACACCATCCCATGATTTCCTCCCATTGCACTGGTGTCCTGCCCAGGGCGCCGCCGCCCAAGGCATGGTCCAGGTTTATCCTTGGGAGAGCAGTTTCTGGCTGATGCTTAGTTCCCCCTAGTTTATATGGGCCTTAATGCAAACATAGGAGCATTCTCTCCACCCCGTTATATGGCCTTTTGAATGAGCCCTTGCTGCATAGCACCCTGCTCCAAGACTAACGGACCTCTCCCCTCCCCAGCCTCTCTGCAGACCTGGCATGCTGCCCTGGCTGGAAACAGGAAGGCAGGGAGTGCACAGCTGGTGAGTCATCAGTGGCTGTATATCTCATGCCTTTGTCCATGTGAGCATCCTGTCTCAGTTTGTATGGTGTGTATTTCCTGCTTCCAGCTGTACGGTGTTTGCAATTCCTGACTCAGGCTGTACGGTGTTTGCAGTTCCTGACTCAGGCTGTATGCTGTGTGTATTTCCTGCTTCCGGCTGTACGGTGTTTGCATTTCCTGACTCAGGCTGTACGGTGTTTGCAGTTCCTGACTCAGGCTGTATGCTGTGTGTATTTCCTGCTTCCGGCTGTACGGTGTTTGCATTTCCTGACTCAGGCTGTACGGTGTTTGCAGTTCCTGACTCAGGTCTTTGGTGCTCAGAGTCCAGAGACATTTGGGGAAAATGGAGGCAAGGGAGGCTTAAGTCGTGTGTATAATACTACAGCAGTGCCTGGGCTGCGCTGAGCTGTCTACAGCTGGGGAATGAGGGAGCTATTTGTGGCTCTCAGGCTACACCTCACTTCCACCTCCTGCTTCCTCCCTCCTCACTGGGGGTTCTGGGTTCAGGTGCAGACTGTTTTCCGAGGTAAATGCATAACAGGCAGGGGTTGCAGAGCTCGGAGGTGCCTCATGAAGTGCATCTTTGTGCCTTTTCACGTCTACCCAGCTGCACCCATGTGCACGGCTAATGTAGGCTGCAGCAGGAGGGGCGCGCTCGGAGCCCCAGCCGTGCCGAGAGGTGGGGGAGTGCCCGTTTGTCGTCACAGGAAAGGGGGACGTGCTGCTCTCACCCCCCTCAGGATTTGCTGCTGAGCTCACCAGCCCAGCATCGAAGTGTCTTGGGCTATCTCTGCCATCGGATGCAGGGCAGCCATTTCGCCTCAGCCTCCCAGAAGCCGTCACGTCTAGGTCTGGCTTCCCCTGCCAGGCCTGGTGAGGTTCTACTACTCCTGGGCTCAATTTCCTGGCTGAAGAGCAAGGCTGGGGCCGGCTGGAGGACGTGCCCCAGGCACCTCAGGGCTCAGAGTGACTCTCTCGGGGGGTGCCGATGGTCCAGAGCCGCAGGGACAAGGAGCTGGAGGCCAGCGGGTCTTGGCCCCGGCAGCTCTGGAGAAGCTGCACTTCCTGGCCCTGGCCATGTGCCTGCCCATGGCCTGGTGCCGGGCGAGCCTGGCTGCTGATGAGCTTGTCTTGTTGACAGCGCTGTGTGAAGGGGAGGATGCTTGCAAGGTGGACGAGGTGTGTGTGAGACCTGGGATCTGCCGCTGCAAACCTGGATTCTTTGGAGCCCATTGCAGCTCCCGTGAGTACATGGGTGGTGGGGCTGGCAAGGGAGGCCGGGCAGACCCCCCATGACATACAGAGAATCCCCCATGTGCTCAGAGGCTCTGTCTGCGCCACAGCGCTCGCCGCACCCACCAGGACGCTGGCTGGGCCCAGGAGGTGAGCACAGGCCACAGGGCCCAGCATGACGGCTCATGGTGCAATGAAGCGCTGGCCCCTGGCCCGTCCATGAGCACAAGCAGCTGCATCCACATACTGCAGCAGAGCAGGGGCAGTGTTTGGGCGCATGCTGCTCTGGTGTCTCCCTGCTGGGGGTCCCTGCTCCTTAGTCTCCCTGCAGCACAGGAACTCCCACAGCCTTCCAGCCTGTGTCCTTCTGTGTCCCCCAGCACGCCTGCTGCCCAATGGTCCTCCCTGGGGCACAGAGATGCCTGTTGTGATTCCTTGCCTGTCTTGTTCCCTTTGCAGGCTGCCCCGACCAGTACTGGGGCTCGGATTGCAGGGAGAGCTGTGCCTGCCATCCCCATGGGAAGTGTGACCCTGTAAGCGGCCAGTGCAGCTGCAATCCCAGCCGCTGGGGAGAACTGTGCCAATTCCCATGCCAGTGTGGACCTCACGGCCTCTGCAACACGCTCACAGGAGCCTGCCACTGTGAGCCAGGCTGGTGGGCACCGAACTGCAAGAAGCAGTGTCAGTGCAACCTGGCCGGCTCCCTCTGTGACCCTGTCTCGGGGCAGTGTGTCTGCGCCCAGGGCTGGTGGGGCAGGAGATGCCGCTTCAGATGCGACTGCCACCACTCCCCCTGTGCCCAGGACTCAGGCAGGTGTGAGTGCAGGGCTGGGTTTTGGGGCCCCTTGTGCCAGCGTCATTGTGACTGCCTGCATGGGAACTGCAACCCGCATGATGGGCGATGCAGCTGCAGCCCTGGCTATCAGGGCAGGAGCTGTGGGGATCCCTGTCCCGCTGGCTATTACGGCTCTCAGTGCAGCTACAGGTAAGAGGAACACCGCTTCGTGCACAGCCTGGGGCTGCCTAGGGAGCACCAGCGCCCAGAAGCCTTTGTCCCCTTCTAGGGGTGCAGGCGTCTGGGGCCAGACTGGGAGGAGCCCGGGGAGCGGATGCAGCTGACACTGGTTAGGCTGCAGGGTTCAGCTGAGAGGAAAAGGACGACGGGGTCTGGCCTGGCTGCCCCACTCGCACTCTGGAAGGGGCATGGGGAGATACCCTTTTGGGAGCGGCTCTCCTGTCTGGTGGGGAAAATCTTTGATCCTCAGGGCCAGGATGGCCTGAGGAAAGGGGCAGGAAAGGCTTGGTGTAGGCTGACTCCTGTAGGCTGAGGGCCTCGTCCCCTGTCGCACGCGATAAGGTTTAGAGGGATGGCTACAAAAGCCCGTGACGCAGGAAGGCCTCCTGGGACAATAGGGTGTCGTCGTGCCTGCGAAAATCTAGATGTGTCCATGGTGGGGAGCTGCCTCCATCCTCACTCAGGCTCAGCAGGGACCATCTCACAGCTGCACAGAGGGACCCCTGTGAGGCAGGCCTGTAGCAGGCAGCGGAGCTCTGCCGGGGACAGGCCTGATGTCTCGACCATGCTGGGTGGACTTTCAGAGACCTGAGCTGCGTTCCCAGGGCCACGAGCCGGTAGACACAGGCTCTGTTGGGTCTTGGCTGCAGTGGGATGTCATTGTGCAGACGACTCCACGATTAACCATAACCCTGGGCTTGTCAGTTAATTGTGTCGAGGCCGCGAGGGAGGGTGAGTGGGAGCCGGTGCCCGTGAGGAGCTGGCTTAAAAGCTGGCTCCCCATGAAAACTGGATCCAGCCCCCCTCCCCCCCGTGCTGCTGCTTCTGATAGAGGGGCAGCAGCGTGGAGACGGAGGGGGTAGGCTGGACCAGTACACAAAGGGAGCTGGCTTTCAGGCAGGCTCCCCTCATGGACCAGCTCCAAGGACCCTGCCCCGCCACCCCACTGCCTCCCACAGAGGCAGCGGGGGCAGGGCAGGTAGGAGCTGATGCTGGGGGGAGATGCCACCTGTCCCCACCCCCACACTGCTGCCTCTATTGGGGGAGCAGTGCAGGGGGTAGGGTGGGCAGGGGAGGCTGCCATGAAGTAGCCTCTGTCCGCAGCAGGCCCGAGCTCCCTGCAATCAGAGGCTACTCCGCATTGCACAAAGCAGCATCTGTCCACGGTGAGCCTGGGCCTGCCACAGACAGGCTGCTCAGTGGGAGCACCCCCTATCTGTGCAGAGCTCGGACCCCCCACGGACAGGGGCCGCTGCGTCTGTACTGGTGGCAGGGCGCTCCCCAGGAGTAGGGCTTGGAGCGCACTGGCTGGCCCTGCCCTGGGGACTATAGAATAGTCATGTAACCATCAAGATTTCATGCAGTTACACGACCGTTCAATTGCACGTTCGTTTCTCTACATCCCTAGGCACCAGAGAGCACAGCCCTCTTCTCCCGAGCTCTCAGGCCTGTTTCTTTGTCTGGGCTGTGGGGCAGCTGTCCCCTAGCTCCGGTCCTGACTGTTCTTTACACCTCTGACTGCAGCTGTGGGCACTGCAAGCGGAGCCAGCCCTGCTCTCCCATGGATGGGTTCTGCCTGGCGTGTGAGGCTGGCTGGAACGGCACCCGCTGTGATCAGCAGTGCCCCCCTGGATCCCATGGGGAGAATTGTGCACAGGTGTGTCCCAGCTGTCGGAAAGGGGAGGCCTGTAATCCAGAGACGGGGGCTTGCTTGAGCTGTGACCCTGGCAAGACAGGATCCAGGTACTGGCCCTTCCTCGCTGGTGTGACGCTTGCCCTGAGGGCTCAATTCTCTGTTAATAGCCTCTCTCCTCAGGTGTCCCGGAGTGCAAAGCGCAGAATGTCTGAAAGCTCCATTCACAGTACGGAGGCTTCTCCGCTGGGAGGGTGATCCACGGGTAGACGGGCAGCGCCAGCCGGCTGAGCTGGGGGTTCTGAGCGGGGATTCCCCAGCGGCACAGCCCCCCTCTGGCCTGCTGTGTGCAGAGCTCACGCACACTGGGATGTCTCTCCGTGCTGGCTGCAGGAATCCTGGTGTCTGGCCCCTCCCACCGCTGTAACACCAGAGAACAGTGAAACTGAACAGCAGCCCCCTCCATCGGTGTTTGTCTTACGGAGGTCAAAGAGCCCTGGGCTCAGAGATGCCCAGTGCATCCCCAGCGGGACTCAACAGCACCATCAGCCTCGCCCAGGGCTCCCTCCACCGAGTGTCTGCAGGCAGCGAGCCTCAGAGCCCTGGGAGCTGGGGAGGTCACGCCTCTCTCAGGCGGGGACGTGAAGCACGGGAGGGCTAAGTGTCTCTGTCAGAGCCAGGAGCAGCACCCAGAACTCCTGGGCCCCGCTGCACGGTCGCCGCTCCCTTCCGCACGTGAGATTTGCCACGAGTTAGGGGCCTGAGGAACAAGGGTTGTATCCATGCAAGAGCAGAGCAGGCCCCCTGCATTGCCAGCTCTTTCCCCAGGGCGCCAGCCAGAGTCCCCCTTCTCTTTGCAGCTGTGAAGCCCCCTGCCCTGCTGGCACATTTGGAGATGGCTGTCGGTTCCCCTGCCCAGACTGTGTGAACGGGAGCTGTGATCCAGTGTCTGGGGAGTGTGTCTGCCAGGCTGGCTATTGGGGCACCAGGTAAAAGCGAGGGGTGCTGCAGTGGGCAGAGGCAGGATCTTTCCAAACAAGCATTTTCCATTTCTCTCTGTCTCCCCCCGCAGCTGCAATGAGACCTGCCCAGAGGGGTTTTTTGGAGCGAACTGTTCTTCTACCTGCCGCTGTGCAGGGGGTCTCTGCCACCCGCACTCTGGGGACTGTGTGCTCAGTAAGTGATCCCCCTGCATTGTTCCTTTTCATTCCCTCCCTCTTAGCCAGCATCTCCTGTCTGGAACAGACCTGGGCCCTTCTCGCCAAGCAGAAACCCTGCAAGACACCAAAGCCGAGGTGCCCTCAGTGCTCCAGAGCGCAGGCTGGTTCCCAGCAGAGATGCTCTGCACAGGGTCATGCAGCTCAAGCCCCCAAGAAACTCCCTTCCCTCTTCTCCTCTGCTTCTGTCGACAGGGCCATCCTTAGGGGGGCGCAGGACCTGAGGCAGTCTCCCCTCAGTGCCCCAGGGGCAGGACCCAGGGCAACTCCCTGCTGCAGGTCCCACCCAGCGCTGCCTCTGAATGTGCCATCAGCAGTAAAAGATTCTTTAGCGCAGAAGATGTGTCTGGAGTTGAGTCCACTGGACTGTAACGTACAGATACGTTCCTGAAGCTTCAGAGGGAGCCGAGTTAGTCTGTAACCGGAAAAACTTCAAAAACAGCAAATAGACTAGTAGCATCTTAAAGATTAACAAAACATGGAGATGGTACCTTGAGCTTTCATGGGCACAGCCCCCTTCTTCAGATGAGTGGAGCATTAAAAGTCCAGATTCAAGAATAAATAAGTGGGGGGGGGAGGAAGGGAGAAGAGGGGAAAAAAGTGCATTCGAGTGTTGAAGTTACAAGACGCTGATAAGAACAATTTGCACCTTCTCTAAGTTAAGTCATTAAGATGGGGAGAGTAGTGTGCTAGCCAGCCAATGTCTTCGTACATTCCTGGCTGGGAGTGGCGAGACCAGCCCCCCTTCTTGCTCATGGCTTTGCCAACCGGGCTGTGCCTGGGGGAAATACGCTTTCCTGTAAAGTGGTGCTGAAACTGCACATGGGAACAAACCACGCTGAGCACATCTCAGCCTGCCCTGGGCTCCTGCCTCTTCCTGGAGGAGGAGAGCTCTGGGCTCCTGCAGAGACTCTCTCTGCAGATACCAAAAGATGTGCGGGGCGCTGGTCCCTCCCTGGCCGGATGAGGTGCAGCTGTATGAATGGGACAATTTGGACAGGGCTGGAGCTGTTCAGGACATTCTGAGACCCCTGACGCAGGTCCCCGATCAGAGAGCCTTCCACCAGGATGACTTTCCCAGGGCTCTGAACTTGCCAGCCATGTGAGATCTTGTTCTACTCTTTCTCGGGCAGGGTCAAGGCAACAGGGAGCCCTGATAGCCGGCACTCTCATCCCATTGCTCCTCCTGTTACTCTGCATCACCTGCTGCTGCTGCTGCGGAACCAGCCAGCTGGATGCCCGAGACAGGTATTAGGAAAAACTGTCAGGTGCTGTAGAAATGTGGCTGCAAAGAAAACGTCACCTGCCTTGGCCCAGTGCTGCTGAGAGGCTCTGGCAGCAAGAGGAGCCTTGTCTGTCCGATTCAAACGATCCTCAAGCAGAGTCATTAACATCTGCCTCGGGGTCTGATGCCTGACCAGGAATTACCTCACAATGTCATGTTGCTTCATTAGGCTTTGTACTTATTCGACTCGTGCAGCTCGGGGCCCGGGATAAATCAGCCCGTGACACAAGCTGCAGCTGCTCATAGCTTGTGAGGCTTGGTGAGAAATGGGGCTGCTCCAGGTGCTGACTTCTGCTGTGTCATTTCCCAGCAGAACAGGATGGGAAAGGCCTCTCCTCTGTGACACCTCTGTTCTTCCTTTCCAAGGGCGGCTGCTGCTGATGGGGATGCAGTCTCCAGAATGAAACATCATGTGCAGGGGGTGCTGGCCAATCTGAGTTCCCTGTTACCTTGCCTCTCACTGAGGGGCTACAAGCTTCCCCGAGTCACAGGTAAGAGCAGCAGGTCCTGCTTTGTCTGTGTCTGCAGGGCTCCTTAGGGCGGGAACTGTATCTGCTTGTATCCGGACTATAAGTGCCATTGCAAATGAGTAACTGTGCCAGCAGTGGCGTGGCGGGGGGAGTGGGGAAGTTGCTCCCGGGTGCCACGCTGGGGAGGGGGCCAATTTAATCCCCCTCTGCTCCGTCTGTCATCCCCCGTCTCACTGGCTCCTCCTCCGTCCGCCACCATCGGCTGGAGCCTCCTCTCCGCCCCCAGCCCGACCCTCCTCCATCTCTGCTGGCGGGTTAGTGCGTGCGGGGGCCCGGCCCCAAACTGGAAGGGGTGGAGGAAGATGTGGTACAAGCTCCTCCCACCCCCAGGGTTGGGCTCAGCCGTGTGCCAGGTATGGCACACAGTGACGGTGGGAGGGGCAGCACAAATTTTGCCTTTGTCCCCAGGCACGTAACATCCTCGCTACACCTCTGTGGTACAGGACAGACTAGGGATGTGAAAGGTTAACCGCTCACCTGGTTAATTGGTAACCGGTGGGGACTGGAGCAGCTCCCACCTGCTGTGGGCAGGAGGCTGCTCCAGCCTCACGGGGCCCATGGTGGACAGGGGCTGCTCTCAACTGGAGCAGCCTCTGTCCACAGGGTGCCCAGGCTTTCCGTGGATAGGGGCTGCTCCAGTGGTAGCTGGGAGTTGGTGGCAGCTGCAGCCCCAGCATGGGGCTGGGGGCTGCTCCAGCTGGCCTGGATCCTGCTTAATTGGTTAACAAGTTAAATGGTGGGTCAGCCCAATCTGTTAAGTGATTAACCGGGGTTTTACATCCCTAGTATAGACTAGAACACAGCAGACCAGCATGTGGTGCCCAGAGCTGGATTGCTTCTTCCTCATGGGCTTGCTTCTCTTCCAGTATCCCACCATGACACAGAGATTCCCTTCAATCCCAGCTTCATTGAACCGCCTTCTGCTGCCTGGGCCTCAGACAGCTCCTTCTCCTCCTCCTTCGACACCGATGATGAGGGCCCAGCCTATTGCGTCCCCACCAGAGAAGGTAATGCTGCCCAGTTGCTTTGTCATCTCCTTTGGACTCACTCTCACCTCCCCTTCCCTGTCTCCTTTGCTCTGTGCCCCCGTGCACAGGGCCTGCTGCTCAGGGTGAATGTCAGTGCCTGTGCGCCCTGGCGGGGGCCTTGAGTTACACACAGGCACCAATTAGGTTTAGTCCCTTAGTTTCCTCTCGCCACAGGGAGCCTGAGCTCTGTTCCAGGCCTTCCCATCAGTTTCGTGTGACATGGAAATGTCTCTGGCCTCAGAAAACAACTGATTTCACAGCATGGTCCCTCCAGTAAATCCAGAGCTCATTGCAGCTGCATGTGCCCCAAGGCTCCCTCGGCTAAGGCCCTGTGGAATCAGTTGTCACACCCAGCTCAGCGCCTTCCCCACCTCCCGGTCTCTAGAACTGCCTGGGGGTAAAGAAGGCAGCGCCAACCCGCGTGGTGCCGGTTCTGGATACTCTAGTCCCCAGAAACCGCCAGTCATGGTCAAGAGGATAAAGGCAACATGCTCTAACCTTGAGCCCTGAGCGTCCCTTCCCTTCCCTCCTTCCTTCTCTAGATGCTCCTGCAGCAGCCGGCTTTGAGCTTCAGGAAGGCAACTCCAAGTGCCCCGAATTTCCTGACGCATCAGCATTTAACTCGGAGGATGTCTCCCAGCCTTTCACCATCCCCCGCACCTCCAGCATTGCCAGAGCCAAGAGACCCTCTGTGTCCTTTGCAGAAGGAACTAAGTTTGGCCCTCAGTGTCGCAGCGACTCGGTGGAGACACCAACGACCACTCGGAAACCCAAAGCCCCCTGGGGTGTCACCAAACTTCCCTCTCACCAGCCTCAGGCTGACCCCGAGGAGGGGCCCAAGCAGGGTGGGTCTCCGGGTGACATTTATGAAAATCCAGAGCGCACCTCTGAGGCTGAGGAGAGCCACCGGCCCTCCCCCGGAGGTGCCCCAGGAGGCCGCAGGAAGGCAGCGTCCAGTGGCAGACATGTGGCCCAGAGAGTTGAGGCCCTGGAGGCAGCTTTGAATCCAAACGCTTTGGAAGTTAAGCAGAATGTCACAACCATTTATGTGACTGTGGGGACAGCGGGGAGAGCCTCCAAGCCCAGCGAGAGTGCTGATGGGAGCAGGGAGGGGCCCGTGCAGGCTGTACTCAAGCGTTTGGGTAGCTTCCAGAGAGCAAAAAGGGCTTTCAGGGAGGACCCCCCCGTGAGGAAAAGCACTGAGAGCATCCAGAAACCTCCCCGCAGGGCCCTGGGCCTGGGGAGGGACTCCAGAGACGTGCTCCCCCAGCCAGCCTCTCCACACAAGGAGAGCTGCAAGACAACAGATCCGGAGCCCTCGGAGGCACCTGAGCTCCGCACTGGTCGACACCAGATCGAGGCCCCTGAGAAGAGGCAGTCTCTCACCCCCACATCACCTCTGTGCAAAAGACTAGCGCCCCCGGGGGAAGGGCTCACAGGGGACCCCAAGGAAAGTGACAGCCCTGAAGAGGCCAGAAGCCAGGAAACAAATGAACAGGCTGCTGTTGAGGAGGAACCGAAATATGAAAACGTGTCTCCAAATCACGGGTCTCCTGTCACCTCCCCTGGCTGCGAGGCCAGCACCTGAACACCCACCAGGACCCAACTCCTGCCTCTTTCAGGACGGGGACAGTTTCACGAGGGAGCTGTGGCCAGAGGGAGCTGTGCCCCTTGCACCAGGCCACCGGCAATCCAAGAGGGCTAGGTCTGCAACGTGTCTGGTATGAGAGGGAAGCCGGAATGCCGCATGCGCTGGGTGACTGTCTACATTGCCATTAAATTGGTGTGTCTTCTGCATTGCATGTCCATGTTCAAATGAGGCACCTTGTCCCTCCTGACTTCCATGCTGGTCGAGCCATGGAGCCAGGGGCTGGGCTGCAGGCAAGTCCGGTCAGGCACCTGCACTACACGTCGCTCAGTCAGAAGATGCGATTGTCCCGGGTAGTGTGGTTGGTTGGGGGCTGCTCTGACCAGTAAGGCAAGGCGATGTCTGAGCAGGAACCACACTCCCAGGCTCCCTCCTTCCAGCCAGGGGCTTGTACGGGCCTGTCCCTGGGGGGCATGCACCGCCAGTGGTGCCTCCACCTGCCCTCTGGGGGATCAGCCCCGGATTATGCGCTTCCCTTGCAGCCGTTGTCCTCTTGGCAACCCTCCAGGGCTCCCCCTTGTGCCGTGTGTGTTTGCTCTTCCGGGAGGCAGAGCAAAGTTCCTTCACGAAATGCCTGTCCTCCCTTTACTGCTGCAACTGTGCCACTCCTCCAGTGGCTGCTCAGGACCCGGGTCCTCCCTCTGCACTGGCTCCCAGCTCAGGGGCCTCTCAGCAGCCGAAGTCTGACCCACCCAGGGGGCCAGCAGCCTTGCCTGGCTCCTGGGCAGTGTGCGTGGTGGGGTGGCTCTGCCGGAGCACGTTGTGTTCCCTCCCCTGCCAGCCCTTAGCGCTGCGCACTGTCCATTTCAAGAGCCTGGGGCTCCTGGGCCTTTTCTATCGCTGGGCCCTGAAGCAACTTCCCCCATCGGCAGGCTGGGACCTACCCCGTCCTTTGCTGCATTTTCCCTTGCCCAGCTCTCTGGGCAGGCGGCCCAAACTCCCCACTGCCAGGGAGTAACTGTAGGGGGCTTGCTTCTAACCCCAGGCCACCTTTCTTCCCTGCAGCCCCTTTCTGCCCACATAGGCCTCCCCCAGCTTGGCCTTCCTCGTTCTGTCAGCGCATCGCTTAGCCACCCGACTTCCCTCCTCTGTGGCTGACCCTGTCCCGGAGAGGCATGAGGATCTTGCGGAAAAAGGGTTTTTTGTGCAAAACGGCCATGTCCACACGGCCTGTTTTTGTGCAAAAACAGAACGAAAGAGTATGCAAATGAAGTGTGGGAAGATGCTAATCCGCGCTTCATTTGCATTGCCTCTTGCAGCAAAAGTCCTAGTGTAGCCGTAGCCTTGCTGTGGGAACTCCACCTCCCTGCGTGATGGAGACATTTCCCCACCGACCCAGTTGTGTCTCTGCTGGGAATTTGGTCACCACAGGTACAGTGCTCAGGAAACAGGAGGGATCAGTGTCCCACTCGCAGCTCTTCAGCAGGCAACACCTGAGCAGCGCAGATTTGTGCACCAAGTGTCTGCTTGGGGCTTGCATACATATGCACTCGGCAGCTCCTGGCCAGCCCTGTTTCCCTGCCTTGCAGGAGGAAGTGACACTGCTCGCCCCTGCCATTGATATGCTTGTGTGGGGAGGGAGCAGTAGCTTGGCTCACCATTCCTGGGCCTCCCCAAACTGCAAGACTGACTTGCACTAGGGACGTGGGGGAAGGAGGTGAGAACAGCCACGAATTTACAGAGTTTTAAACTAACCCCATAAAGCTAACCTTGTGGCGTCACAGTGCTCATGAGGCCAGTCCCACTCCCTCCCGCCCCTCCCACCAGACAAAGGGCCTCCAGCTGCCTGGGTCTTTGCCTGGCATTGCTCTGTCCTGGGAACTCAGTAGGATCCTCCCTGCAGAAGCCTTCTGGTCGTGGTACCCTCTTTCTCAGCCTTCATGGCCTTGTCTGCTAGAGACTTGTATGACTTGGTGGCTCCTAGGTAGTGGCTGCTGCCAGCAGGTTGTCTCTCTCCATTGCTGACTCAGCAGCACTGACCAGGCCAGCTGAAAGTCCTCACAGTAGAAGTTCCTGGGGGAGGTGGGACAGAAAGATCGCCCTGCAACCAGTTCCTGTTGCTGAGCACAGACTGTGGTGTCACAAAGGAGCGGGGACTGGACTCCTGATAACCCCCCAGTTGGAGCACATGATGGGGGCTGGACCCCAAAGCTCCAGGCATTGGGAAGCGGGTTCCCGAGAGCAGCCTTCTATGGTGCGCTATGAATGCCTCTGGGACCCCGGAAAGGGTCCCCCTCACTTCCTGGAGTTCCCTATCTTGCCAGTGTTGTCTGGCTGAGTGCTGCGTTTCAGCCTCCAGATGCAGCTCTGCCCTTGTGCTAAGATGTGGGAAGGCAGCTGTCTGTTTCCACCAAGATCTGCCAGTGCAGACCTCATGCTGGCTGTGCAGTACGAAATGCTCCATTCCCTGAGGCACTGTTGCCACTGTGGGCCTCAGTCACGCAGGCTGTGTGTGCATGAAGTCGAGGGTTCTGTGTGTCTCCGCCATCGGCACTGGGGAGAACACAGGGCATCTTGGCTCCCACCATAGTTCCCTGTCATACAGGCTGGGCACTGGGCACAAATCTTTGTGTTAATGCAGTGATGGATTCAGCTGATGCCTGCCAGTGAGCTGTCAGGAACAGTGCAGAGAACACATGGACTAAAGTGTCTGCTAAACAGAACAGGGTGACGGTGACTCGTTCTGCATCGATTTCTTAGCTGTAATCTAAAATAGCTCTTCATAGCTTAGAGGTCATTGCTCTCCCAGAACGTTCCCCACACAGGTAGCATCCTTCTCAGAAGTTGGAGCTTTCTACATGGTGTCATGGCTCCTTTCCCACTCTGGCATGATAAATGCAAAAGTGGGGGCCAGCAAGTGTACCCCAAAGCCTTATCTACCAGGCTTTGGTATAAAACTTCCCCCAAAATCTTAAAAACCTAGATTTTGGGAATAAAACCTGCTGCCACCACCCAAATATTAATAACGAGATTAGGGGAAAGGTCATTTGGGAAATCTCACCCCTATTATAAAAATCAGGACACACAAGTAACCAGTGCCAGGTTAATAAAAAGAAAAGAGAAAACTTTTATTATTACAACAAAAATCCATGTTGCAAGCATAAGGATCAGATGGAAAGGTAACAAAATATACTCATGGAGGAGTTACACCGTGGGCTAGAAGTTAGTTAAAAAGAAAAGCCAAACATCTCTTAAGCAGTGCTGGATCTCAGATCCTATACCCAACCCTTAAAACTACCTAAACTTTACCCTACTTACAGAAAGTGAAGAATTGTACCTTGGAGAGAGAGAGACATGCTTGTCCCTCCCTGTAGCTGCAGAGGACTCACTCAGAGAGACGAAAGGAGAGAAAAAAACCTCAAATTCCTTTGTCCCAGTTTGAAAGTCCTACTTACATTCCTATTGGCCACTCCGCCTGGCTAGGTGTAGTTAACCCCTTAATTCCCAGGCTGCTGGCTAACCCTCATAATCATGACACATGGCATCCCTAAGAGCAGGGAGATTTTCCCTCGAAAGGATTTCTGTTATCCAGCATGCTGCATGTAGATGACGTGAACTATCAAAAGGAGCCTCAGTGGAATTAATTTTAGCATCTTAGCTATAGAGAATATCTGGGTTTGTGCAAGTTTATCAAATTTGACTCGCTTGGAAGGATCTAAACATAATTTCTACAGCTGCACTTCAATGCATTAAACTACATTATACAATACCTTGGACCTTGTTGAGGGGCGTGGCGTCAACACCCCCCCAGGGGCGTGCAGGCCCCGCCCCGCCTTACGCCCCAAGGTCCCCGTCACTCGTGCTCCCTATTCTCCCCTCTTCCCTGCCTCGTGTCCGGCAGGGTCAGTCCATCTGAGCTTTCCAAGTCTTAGTGGCATTCGAGTTCGCGAGGAGAGGTAGGGGGGCTCGGGCCCGCCCTCACTCCGAGCCCCGACCAGGGCCCTGAGGTCTGGGGCTCTCTGCCCCAGTCCCAGTTGGTGGGGGAGGGAACCCCCGCAACACACCAACCCCCTGGGTTCCAGTACCCTGCCCTGGGTCGCTTCCTACCTCCCTCGCCGAGTTGCCGTGACGACCTGGTCCATGGGTCCCCGCAGGAGAGGCCCAAGATGCCTCTGTCCGGCCTCCCGGTGTTGTTCTGCTCCTCTCTTGGCTGGCGGCGGTGCTTCTTTTAAGCGTCCCGCGGCGGTTTGCCAGCTCCCCGTCCTCCCCGCCTTGCCAGGGCCGGGGCTGCCCACCCAGACGTGGCCAGCCCACTCCCGGGATCTGCCCTGCCCGCGGCGGAGCAAGCCACGCAGGGCAGAAACTGGCGCGGGGCCACTGCTTCTCCCCAGCATGCCGGGGACGGCGCCGGGTTCGTGTGGGGCGCAGGTGCTGCCCCGTCACAGACCTTTTATGTGCAGGTTTCCAATACACCAAGAAACTTCTCTGATCTGCCAGTGTGAGGGAACCTTAGAGCAAGTCTAGTCGCTGTGGTCTGCGTATGGCCGGGTTTGTGATTTTAGTGCTAAATGAAAATCTGGTGCTTTTCCTGGCTTGCATGAAGAGTCCATGTGGAACAGTGCTGCAACCAAAGTTTCTCCAAATCATTAACTTCTAGTCAATGGGGAAATTGTAATGTCATTTCCCTTAATTACAGCTTTCAACCATACACTGTCAACAAATGTCTCAGCCATGACACCATCACACTTGGCCAGGGGGCAGTCCTGTGTGGGCGGGCAGGACTAGCCCTGGGCACCCAGCAGGTGACAAACAAGATGAGACAGTCCTCTTTGCTAAGGGAGTGAAGAGTGTCTCAGAAAACAGTTCATCTGATTCCCTGATTAACACGAGGTTTGCGTTAGAAACTGTAGAAACAGGTTATAGTTCAAGAAGCCAAGTCCAAGAGCATTTCTGGCACTGAGCTGGGTTTGGCTTGATTTGTCTTATGTGGTTTTTGCATGTTCTTTTGTGTTAATCTGAGTGCTGCAGAGGGAGGCCTCTGAATGTAAACAATTCTTAACTAGGCCTAAAATGAGCTCAGTGCCACAAAAACAAAGACATTACCCAAAATAGCCGGGGAGACTCAGCTTTGCTGTCTGTGCATTGTTTCAGCTTCTGGTTTGTTTCATTTTAAGTTTCATGTATAGATCTGAACAGGAGGAGACAAACA